AAAAAAAAAGAATTCTAAATATTAGAAAAAAATGTCTAAAAATCTCTGAAAACCTTCTAAATATATGTATTTTCTTTTTGTTGTACAAATGAGCCGATTTTGAATTATTTGGGCATTTTTTTTTTTTTTTTTTTTTTGCAGAAGTAAAAGAAGTAGAGGAAGACGATGTTACCAGCGTCCGCCATTTTGGGAAATTGCGGCTTTAGTACTTGTAGTGATATGAAATTATTGGAATACATTTTTTAAGTAGAAAATCGCTGAACTGGGTTGTTTCTCGCCCAGAACGTCTCAAGAATTGAACAAAAAACAGGGCCAACCAAAAAAAAAAAAAAAAGCTATGCATACTTTCACAGAGATATCTCTAAACTCTCTAAATACATTACTATTTACTAAATATCTCGGAAACCTCTAGATATCGCCCAAAATATCCGGATATTCGTTGAAAGACCTACCTTGGGATTCATAAGATTCATAAGTTCACCGCGGGAAGAAAAATAATGTCAAAACACGATTAAAAAACCTTCAGTGAGACAAGGTGCGAGCACAAAGAAAACATCCTAGCATTGGATCTAAGCTTTCTATTCATCACTTTAGTTTAATTTTCTCGTAAACATTTTTTGCCAGAAGTATCGGAAAGATGGCGTCTGGAAAGCTGAGCTTAAAATTTAGTTTTGGAAGCCCATACGAATTTTTTTGGAATCTTTAAAGTGTGGTAAAAATGATCGATTTGATCTCGCTGCCAGCACCCGCTGTGTGGTCTTGTAATTAAGACTTGTAATTCATTCGTATGCTCGTTCATTATTTCTTCAGTCCATTGTACGTCAATCAGTGAGTTAGTTTCTAGTTAACTATATCAAGATACAGAAGAAAAGGTCCGACTTATTGCTTTTTCGAGGGTGTTTTTTGCCTTCTTTTCCCCCCACTCTTCGTTATATGACCCTCTATGACTTCTTTGTGCTCGTTCGTTGGAAAACCTGCGCCCAAACGTTCAGGCTAGCATTTGCGGAATTAGCGGAGTTACATGAGTCTCACGAAGACATCACCAAAATCTAAAAACTTTGCATGTATAATTTATTAACATCACCTTAAGTCTAAGCTTTTTTGCATTGGCTCTCGCATTCTTCCTTGGACTCAAAGTTGTTTTCATTGCCACTACATCCTCCATAAAGGAAATCCTCGCACTCTCCAGTCTCCTTGTTATAGAAGAATCTCGGAAACGCGCCTCTGCAAGGACCTACTACTTTAGGCAAATCACAAATTGATGGATCTTTTGGCTTGAAGGCTTGGGCCATAACTGAAACAAAGAGAGACACATCAATGTCCGTTATTT